TTCACTGTATGTCAGTAGAAGTGAACTTAAAAAGTTTATAAAAAGGACATATTGGGACTTGCTTGGTTTAGACGCCCTCAAGCATGAGGAACGGGAGCCTTCAAGCCATTAGAACCCCTCTGGGGAGGGGGAGGCACAAAGGTGTGATGTCCCCAGTGGAGAGGCGATTTTTTTAAATAATTTATTCATTCTACTTCAACATTGAGTATTATCTTACAAATAAACTCGCCAAACTAATTAGTTTTATGGCGAGAAGCGCTCTGTTAAATTGTAAGTAGACATGGTAGGTACGTAACTCTTCGGTATTTCACACAGTTATGTATACATTGTTACATGAAACATTCACGAATAAAAAAAATTACAAATGACTAATTTTATCAATTCCATTTTGGGTTATAGAGACACCGTAGGAAGCTTTTACTGGCCTATACGCTGTTTGTTGTTAGTTTGACTTCAAATTGCAATTATTTAGCGAGACCCATCTAATTGGCGACGTGGTTTGCGGTCCAGTAAATAAGCAAACAAATTACGACCTCAATAACGTAAACACTAAAATTATTATCATATTTCAACCAAGGATTAGAAAGTAAGGTTACAGAAACAAACAATAGTTAAAAATAATACAATATGGTGAAATATTTAATCGTCATGTTTTGAATTTTGGGGTTTTCTCTTAATCGGATCATCGGAGACCTACTTTTTTATTGGACAAAAAAAACATTATTGTAGGCTTTACATCCTTGTATTAATCACGCCTAATCACTTTCTCTCTATCTATTAGGGATCTCGGTTTTCATTACATCTTAAGTACAGCCGCAAGAAGTTTACTGCTAAACATCGACAATAAGTATAGCTTCCAGATCAGCTAAATGGGAGTGACATGAATTTAATATCTTATTTCTAGGCTATTCGGCTCAATAATCTACCGCGGCAAGCCTGCTCGGGGCAGATAGAACGGAATGGTTTTTATTCACTAAAAGCCTTTTTTGTGAGTGGAAAATCATCGTTTTGAATAACTTGAATAACTTCTTTCGCCCAGGGTGGGCCAAGAGGGAGTCAGACTCTTACTGACTAAAAACCCCCCGTCTTCTGCTCCAGGCCGAGGCCGCGGTGTCTTATTGCCCTTAGCCCGCAACCCCGGCTGAACATCAACCCTATAGAGCTGTGTATAGGGCCCCATCTGTGATGGTCTATTGGCTCTTTGAGGAGCAACCGAATAAGAAACCGTCACTTCTTCTGGCCCCACTCAAGGCAGGGAAATTGGATGATTTTCCCCCCTCATAAAAGGGTATTCTTTCAGAACCCAAGAAAGTAAATAAAAAAAAATCCAAGTACAGAATGATTTTTTGCTACCAGGCGCGCATACAACGAAGAAAATCAACGCAAATCCACTATTTATTTGTCATTCAAGTAAAGATATGTAATTCCTTGTAAGTTTATTTTATAACTGCGCTCAAGAATATTCGTATGACATCACAGTCGGTGTCAAATACACGACATTGAACTCGGGTTAGTGACCTCGATCGTTCTGGACATTTTAGTGAATCCTTAATCATTTGATATACTGTATGTAGTAAGTATCTTTTTAAACTTTGAAAGAAGAAATGTTAACTACGTCACAAATTTATATTATATATATTAAGCTTGATACATAAGGTGACGTTATTAATTTTAAAAATGCAGTAAAAAACGCACCTCTCTAAATAAGCATTTTAATACTAGGCAAACATAAAAACTGCGAACGTCTGCGGCTCAAATATAGGCCACCACTTATATCGACCAGGAGTGCGGCCTGTCACTTGACTTTCACTTTCATGTCGCCCTAGTACCTCAAGGCACGAAACGTAGCGTTTTCTAGCCTGTTGTGTTTGTTTTAAACGTATGGTATTTGATCAGAGAAAAACATAGAATATGATTACTATATAATTTACATCTTAAAAATAAATTGAATTAAAATAATTTTCAAAGTAATGGGAAACAGTTTTCATGTATGTTTTATTTTATGTACGACAATAATACGGTAGTTAAACCTACTAGTCAAATTCATTAATTTTATCTAAATGTCAATAACGACACTTTTCTGTCACATTTCCTAATTCCTTTTGACCTAGGAATCAACCTAATTGTCCAGGTATTTTATAATTATTTAAAGTTGAAGTAATGTGCAAATCCGTACTGTAAACACACATCTTTAAAGAAGTAGTATCATCTTTAAAGAAGTAGTATTAACTATTAAAGTTTTCAGCACCGACTAAAAAATGTGACACTAATGTCCTCATGGAGACTTTTCTGAAGAAGAATCCCTTCTCCTTTCCCGTCTTACAATTGAGTACTATGTCCAAAATAAAGATATTTTTTGCACTATAACAGCTTAGAATATTATAATAAGTGCATAACATGGAGTATGAACAAATATTGCAGTCGCCAGCTAGTGTTGAAACATTCCTCCAATTTAATTGTCGCATTGATTGCATTTGAAATACAACAAGCGTAAACAAGAGTTGTTATTTCCGACGTTAATACTGTAACAACACCATGACCAAATAACAACTTTAAGTGAGTAAATAAGTGCGAGAGAGCCTTGCTTCGGCAAGAATAGGCTGGCTGAAGTAAAATTTACGTTGTGTTTCGTGTGTGAATGACGTTACCGGAGGCCCAATCCCTCAATTCAATCCTCAAATCCACAAGAAATCGCAACGCACTTGTAGTAACTCCTTTGGTATTACGATGTCTATGACGGCGCTGACTGCTTACCATCAAGTAATTCAATTGTCGTTTGCCTACCTCATTACCTACCTACCTACCTACATCCAAGCTGAACCTCTGGTCTTTTCGCCGAGTAGACCTATCTAACTACATATAAGTATAATGCAAAAGTTATCAATTGTGAATGGATGTTGGTCTCTTTAACGTTAAAAACAACTGAATGGATTTTGATGAAAATTAACACACAGATTTTTTTATGTGTAGGCAAACGATCTTACGGATTACCTGATGGTGAGCAATCAGTGCCATCCATATATGTACACCCGCAACTACTAAGGAGTTACAAGTACGTTGCCGACCTTTTGGGGATAAGGGTTTTGGGGATTAAGTGATTGGGGGAGGGGAAAGATTGGGCCTCCGGTAACCTCACTCATACAGCGAAACATAACGCTGTGGTTGTCTTACGTCGTTTTCTGTGATGCCGTGGTATCACTCCGGTCGAGCCGACCCATTAGTACCGAAGCATGGCTCTCCCACACTTAGGTAAAGATTGTCTCCGATAACTAAACTCGTAGGTTTCTTTTCTTCAAGTGAACGCGGGCGAAATTGCTACTAGTAAATAAGGAGGCGACCTATGAAACAAAGGTTCTAGAACAAAGGAGGTATTCACTAATGCGGCTATAGTCTGCAGTCTGCAGGTATCAATCAAAGTGCAGTCTGCAAGTGACGGTCGAACGCAAACGGTTGTGTAATGATACCGCTACTATGTGTACTCGAACTGTTATGAGAATCAAGTTTAGGTGATAAGTTTACTAGGTGGTGAAAAGCAAACCTGCTTGATACAAACCGATTTGGTAGTTCAATCATCAAAATAAAAATCGAATTTCAAATTATCTTATTGTCAACCGTTTTTTTTTTTGTTCGTTTATTTGATCTGCTATTGGCTATGTGCGCGACAGTGGTGACGCGTAGCGTTTACAACATTTCCGGAAGCTGTCAAATAATAACAATGTAAACATTATAATTTTCTTTGCAAATATAAATAAAACCAAAGATTAAAATATTATTGTTGACATTATTTAAGTGCAATTTATTCAATAGTTTTACTGTAAAATGATTATAATAATATAAACAGATAACTGATCGTCGGCATTTTTTTCCAATTTCTGCAGTGTTGTGCGCTGCGGTCGTTATTTGTCCGATTTAAATTTTAACAAAATGCATCAAGTCGAGCTTAGTAAAATCGCAATAATTCAAAATAGATCTATTAAAATTATAGCCGGGATTAAGCGCAATAAGGCACCGTAGCCTCGGCCCAGAGCAGGAAAACAAACGAGGAGTCAGTAAAAGTCCTGACACCCCTTCTCGCCTCATCCTGGGCAAGAGAAGCCATTTCATGATTTTCTCCTCACAAAAAAAATTAACAATTTTATTATATTTTTGACAAACATTCTATACTATCTCGTAACGAACATACTTAGCGATATTTTGTAAGTGTAAGTGAGTGCGCAACAAATAGTAGGGGTCCGTATTGAACCATCGACCTTTACCATCGATAGGTCAGCGCGCAGCACCGTGCTGTGAATGACGATTCCTTTGGTTCCGCATTGCAAGCCGATGCTTGGACGAAGCCCCAATTAACACTATGCAATAGCCAATTTATATTTACGCTTTGTGAATTTCAGATGCAGATATTATGAGCTGTTAATGAAATTTGTAAATGTCATGACTGTTTCATGTTTCATTCGACGAGGAGCAAAATCGGCTAAACATATTATTATGTAGGTATATTGTATTACTTTTAAGTTTATTATTACAATTTGTTTCCTTTTTTACGGCAAGCGAGCTCTAAGTGATTGGTGACGTCGTTCGTCGTTCGACGTTCGACGTAACGATTTCGTTGTCTGCCTTTTAGAGAAGGATGGGGAGAGGACAAGGCTTTTGCCTCCAGTAACCTCATTCACACAGCGAAAAACAACGCTGGTTGGCTCACGATGGTTTTCTGTGATGTCATGGTATCTTCGCCCGAGCCAATCCATTCGTTCCATAGCTTGGTACTCCCATACTTAAATTCCTATTCCTATCGCGTAAATTCAACGTTTTTGAATCAAGACCCAATTTGTCAAAACGGAAAAGACCAAACTGGTCACCATGTACAAGTTTTCTTTTTTTTCAAGAATATTGTTCTTTTTCTCTTTGAGTATGTACAAGCCAAGTAGGTCTTGTTTCCTTACAATTTATAATTGGTTGTTGTAAATTTGCTATCCTTAAAAGAAAGTACAAAGTGTGCTTACCAAAGCGGGTGAGTCCAAAGGCCTAGATCTCGACTTCCTCAAATCGCTCTCTCCGTCAGAAGGTCTCGACTGCCTGTCGCTCTCTCTATCCGAAGAATGGTACCGTCTCTTTTCCTCTTTGCGGTCCTTGTATCTTCTTTCTTCTTTTAGTGTCTTTTCATATCTGGAAGTGTTTATATTTTAGTATACAATTTGATCTAGGCTAGGGTTAATGCTGTGAACAACTACGGAAGGACCAGCGGCAGAATCGAGTGAGGTAACTGCAGTGCCAAAATCTTCGAAGCCTGACAATTTTGGCAAACTCTTCTTGATTCCCTTTTGCTCTTTATTGGATATCAACAGATTAATAACGTAGATGATAAATCAAGCCTATTTTTAACAAAGCCTTGTCCTGCTCTAGGCTTTTCTCCTATGTCGTAGATGCGTTTACAAACATACAATTTCACATACACATCACACCCAGACCCGGAGCAACAATTTGTTGATCACACAAAGAATTGTTCGGTGCGGTAATCGAACCCGCGACACGTTGTGCGGCAGCTAGTTGCCTAGCCACCCCGCCAACCGTGCAGTCGTCAGTTGATATAAATAGTCATAGTCGTCCTTATAATACATTCATTAGAAAGAGAAAAAAAGGACTTAAACGAATAAAAATGTGTTACCTACACATTTTTATTCGTTTAAGTCCTTTTTCGTCCGGTTAGAAACATATCCCATTATTTTATTGAACTCACCTTCCATCATAATCCTCTCTATACTTTCTCTCAGGATCGCTGTCCCGAGGGTCTGAGCTCCTGTACCTTTCCAGGTCTTCCCTGGAACTCCTGTACCTACGCTCATCACCCTTGCATTCATAGTCGATCTTCTTCACTATGATGTCGCTTGGTTCAGGGTCCGTGTACCTGTGATTGAAGAGGCATTCATATTAAAATACAGTTGAAACTTACATAACTTTACGCTTGACGTGGTTCCAGAGACCAGAAGGTACACAAAATTATCAGTATAGTTTATCAGTGTAGTGTATCTATACTAATATTATGAAGAGGTAAAGTTTGTAAGTTTGTATGTAAGTTATAATCTTTGGAACCGCTAGCCGGATTTCCAAAATTTTTTCACTAATTGATAGCTACAATGTTCCCGAGTGCTATAGGTAATAAAACATCACGCTATAATCAAATCGAGCTAAGCAGCGCGTGAAACTGCGCGGGAGTAGCTAGCGTTTATAAAAAGAACTGTTTCGGTATGCAAGAAAATAGATATATTACTAGTCCTAAAAGAACTCTTATTTGCTAACCTGCATCGAAGTATGAAGACTGCATTTTCATACAAAACTTTTCCTCTAACTTGATGATGCATTTGATATGACTCACTCTGCTTAGAATAAATAGGTAATGCCTATTTTGTACATATATGTATGTAAACTACTTGTATTTGCTCAATGCCATCTAGGCAAACAACATAATGACGTCATGTATTTTGAATGTATATGTCAAAGGGTTCATTTTCTACACCAACTTAAGCAACAGGCACTTTTAAACAAAGGTAACTTGAAGAAGAGCAGCCCTTGTTGCCAAAAAGCAACATTTTTAGTCGTAAACGACATTTTCAAATAGGTCTTTTAGTTTCGAAGCCTATAATAGACACAAATTATTGTATATGTGCTCATAAATGGTTACATGACAAATAACTTGTCACATTGAATCAAAAAAATCCGAAGTGTCTAAATAGGTATTTTTCTATAATACGGAATTTCACTATGTGCATAACATATCAAATAGCATAGGTACTACTCTTACAAAAATTACCTATATGATATCGTAAAATCAATTATTAAAGATGTGATTATTTTTGAAACGGAAATGTCGAAATAATTTACTTTTGACTACATGAAGTATCCAAATACCTCCATCTTAAGTTAAAATTAGTCCTATTATCCTATCTTATTCACCTAAAAGAGACGTCCGAACATATACAAATATTCTTCTTTGTCTATGACTAACCATATTCTATGAATTCTCGGGCTATTTTTTAGGCTTTAAGTGTGGGAGAGCCATGCTTCGGCACGAATGGGTCGGCTCGACCGGAGTGATACCACGGCCTCACAGAAAACCGGCGTGAAATAACCACTGCGTTGTGTTTCGCCGTGTGAGTGAGGTTACCGGAGGCCCAATCCTTCCCCTTCCCCAATCCCTCCTCAATCCCTAAATCTCCAAATCCCTAATCTCTTAAAGGTCGGCAACGCACTCGTAACTCCTCCGTTGCGAGTGTCCATAGGCGGCGCTGATTGCTTACCATCAGGTAATCCGTCTGCTCGTTTGCCGACCTACTACATATAAAAAAAAAAAAGTTTAGTACTATTTACTTCTCTAATTCTGCACTATCTAATTCTACCGTTTTGTATACCATCACATTCGCGACAGTTGCTCATGTATGGCAAAGTAAGGAGCGGCCTGAGTCACGTGGGATTTTCATGTCACTTATATTGTTATCAGATGAAAGTTGTGACCCGATTGTGTTGTTTTAGTTTATCTAGCTTTGTTTTATTCTAAGTATACAAGTAAGGTACTTAAAATAGACAATATGTCTGTCGTTTTAATATGTAGCTTTAAAACAAATAAATTCAGACGAGACTCAGAGAAAGACAGACTGACACTATATCTTAAAAATTTGGTTTGATGTTCAAAAGTGCCTGGAATTTTGGGTGCAATGTTGAATGCCGTGTTTGAATGCAGTATTAATGATTTGGTAAAATAAATATTGGAAGATAAGAAAAAGATATTCATTGTAATCGTTTATTTAGATTGAGATTGTTGCTGTGAATAGGCTCCTACTAACTTGATAAAAAAAAGTTTTAGGTACACTGTTGACCATACTCCTCATATTACCTACATTACATCTACAGCTTTGATTCCTTCTCAAAAGAAATGTGCTAAGTTGAAAATCTTAAGTAGAAAGTTAGTATAAAGTAAACTATGCAAACCTTCTATATTCGGAGTCGTCTCTGGCAAGATGTTCAGGGCTCTTGAGCACCCGTGTGCGAGTCTTTGGCTGGACTACTTCCTTCTCTTTCTTGCTCTTCTTAGAAGAGTCGCGAGAGAACAGCTGTTTCATCTTTTAAAAATAAAATAAATTATTAGATTGACCAGGCATGTTTTATATTTTTCATACAATTAAGAATGAAATGGATAAATTACCTTTTCAAGTCCAGTAAGTTTCTTTGCCTTGGGCGGTTTCGCACTGACTTTATCATCAAGTCTACTAGGACTTTTCTCGTATCTTTCATGTTTTGGCTCAAAATGTGATCCTTCATCAGCACTTCTATCTCGCCTTGTGTACTCCTTCCTATATCCATCATCCCTGTAATCTTTGAACCTCGCCAAATACTCTCCGTTAGCGTATATCTGTTCAGCAGGATAATTATCTTCTGTGTGTTGTCTTTCACTAGCCAAAAATAAAGACGTGTCCCTGACGTCATCGTCGCTCTCATGTCTCCTGTGTCTCGTTCTGTGTATTTCTCCGCTTGAATCTTTTCTGAAGTCGTTTTCGATTCCAGAATCAACTAGTCTGTTGTCGATATCGAAGCGACGAGGTGACCTGTCATCCCTGTAGTATTCTCTACTATCACCAGAATCATGTCGTGTCATACCAAACTCTTCCTTATATCTGTCCTTATTCTTCACTCTACGCAGTGAATGGTAAGAGTCGGCATATTTTGGAAGATTCGCATAATCTTCCTCACGTTCTTGAGCAATTTCAGGATTGGAGGAATAATGGCCTTTTCTTTTACCGAAATATTCTTTGCCTTTATATTTTTGTCCAGTTTGAAGAACATCATGACTAGAAGTAAGTTGCTTTTTTGCTTTATATTTCTTCTCTTTGTATTCATCGGGACTGAGTAATGGTTTACCTGTATTTGAATCTAAGCTTGGAGGTTCATATTCAGGTTCTGGAGGAAAATCTTTTTTAGAACTCTTGTATCTAGGTTCCAATTTATCTATGAACTCGCGCCTATCAAGTTCTCCTTTAGGAACTTTTTGGAAGGTTCTACTTTCTGTATTGTATTTTATCTTATGATTATCTGAATCATATTTACTGTAATCTTCAGTAACACTGCTTTCAGCAAAACCATCTCTTTCTAACGTATTCCGATAATAACGGACTGTTTCATTGACGTATCTCTCAGTAGCTTGCATGCGTTTTTCAGCTTCATATAGTGGATCATCAGGTAAATATCTTGATATAGGCTCCTCAATATTTCTCTCCCTTTCGAGTCTTCGAGCATTAAGCCTTGATTCCAAAAGCTGACGTCTGTGACTCAGTTCATTAAAATCTAAATCAATCTTGGTTGGTTCTGTTTCATATTGTTTCTTTTTAGTGTCCATACCGTCTCCTCTTCCTCTATATTGATTACTTAAATCGGGGGACTTGTCTTTTGGTGAATATTCATTGGCATAAGTTGGTTCAAAGTCTTCGAAGCTGGTCAGCTTGTATTCCCTAAACCTAGGCCTTATGGGTGAATCTGTTATATTGTAGGTCGGTTCAAAATTATTGAAGGTGTCGTTTTCCTTGTTTTTGTAATCATAATCATACATTTGAGTCTTAGCAAACTTATATCTGTCTTCATAACCCAAACCTTCATCTTCATCGGACAAGTTACCGTACTTTTCTCTGGACGGAGAATAAGTTTTATGTACTGTTTGTTTATTTAGTCTGTTGATGTGTGAATCATGATCTCTCACTACGTGAGCATACACCACTCCCTTATCCATCTTGTTCACTGGGGAAGGCACTCTATCTGGACTAGTATTCCTTACAAAAAGATTGGGATCAGGACTGATACTAGGTTTAATATAAGAAAATGGTTGATTCACGTTAGTTCCGTTTGGAGGTGAAATCAAATGAGATTTCGGTGGCGGCGAAGATTGGTCTTCTTTAAGAATCCTCACTAAGTGATCTACTGTATGCCCTCGAGTCAAAGGCGGTTTATCCGGCGGTTGTTGACTACTATGTATCATTTCTTTATCACCATAAACGTTTTCTTCAATTTTTCTTATGCTGTCTTTGATTCTATCTTTAACATCAGCAGAATTGGTATCTTTACTTTTAGTCGAGTCAATCTCATCCACAAGAATTGTCTTTTTCACGTCAGTTTTTCTTTTTGGCGTGTTACTTATTTGTGGCGATTTCTCTTTCTCCTTCTCTTGTGATTTACCCTTTTTAGCTCTAGTGGGTGCTTTTGGCTCAGGCTTTTCTGGAGCTTTATACCTGGGAGGCTTTTCAACTGGATTGATTTTTTTATTTTCTGTTTTTTCTTTTTCAGTATTATTTTCCTTTTGTGCAGAATTTTGTTTTTGTTGATACAGGTCAAGTGGTGGCGTTTTCTTAAAGTAATCTTCTCTGGGTGAACTTTCTATAATGGGTGATAACTGTGACTTCTTATTTCTCAATGACTTAAGGAATTCCTCAGTTTCACTACCTGATCTTTTGCGGATTGGTTTGTTCTGCGTGGTAAGTGTTGTGTTAGACTTTAGATCGGATACGTCACTCTTACTTCTCTGGACTATTGCAACTGGTTTTGTGGCAACAACAACTGGTACATCAGAACCTTTACCACTTTGAGCTCTTCTGAATAGCGTTGATAATGAGGTTCGTTCTTTCCTCTTTTTGTTGCTTACATCACTGGTTGATCGTCCTAGAGGAGTTTTCTCAGGAGCGCCCTCGTCACTGTTCCGTCTTCCGATTTTATTATCCTTTTTCCTTCTGTGTGGTAAGGAGAAGAACTTTTCTGGTGGATGATCAGAAGTGCATGTGATGCCTTCAGCTTGGGCTCGTACTTTGTTAGCTTCTTCAATGAGTTCCTTTTCTGATAAATGAGTAAATGGTTCTTTTCTGATGGATTTTGGTTGGTCAGATGATGTGGTACGCGTAGCACGCGGTTTATCTGTAAAAATAATAAGGACGTTTAGATAGCTGTTACATTTTTTATTCTAAATTAATTTATTAGCAAGTTAGCATTGGTCAAGATTTTAAATATTATAACTTTGTTATTCTTTAAAATGCTTTATTTAGTAATATTTTACTTATGTAAATATAGATATTTGTTAATGCCAAGTAAATATTGAGTTAGATGGGTAATTTATCTTGTAGTACATAGATGATAAATGGTAAATAATGTTGAAAATACAATGATCAGTATCTCCTGACATAATGGTTAATTCCATGAGTTATTATGAAAAGCATCTTGTACTACTAGTACCAGGAATGCTACGTGAAACAATAAGTTAATATAAGAAGATACATTTTCGATTCAAAAGAACTTTAAGACAGACGCATAAGGCTCACATTCCGATATCAAACATTAGATATATTCAGTTGCAGAAACCAGTTGAGTTAGACTATTAATTAATCTGTCAAAATTTATATTTATGTAAAATAATAAAGATACAATAAAATACCCAAAAGGTACTTGTTTGTTCATAAAAGACGAATATATTAATCATTTTTGTGTAACTGACATATTTTTTACGATGAGTTTGTGGAACAATCATATTTTTCGACGTCAAAGATGAATAAAAACAAAATTGATTCTTTAATAGATTCACTGAACTCATGTGTTTCGTCACGATTATAATTTAAAAATTGAATATAGCATGAATCAATTTACAAGCACCTATGCGCTTTATACTATTTTACCAACAACTGAAAAGTAATCCAACAATAATTTTCCTAACCATTTTTTAAATAAGGACTTACTGCCCTAGTTCATTGTTTGCCGGTAGTGGCGCTAGTGAATACGAAAGCCTGCTGCCCAATAGTAAATTCGCAACCTTGCACGGATTCCTACATAAGTTTTGACAATTATAAAAGTAACTAGACAAACACACAATACAGCAAAAAAAAATCTCATTGTCTCTGAACGAGATTTTCTATCGTATTAAATCTTACCCTGGTATTCAACAATTTTCGGGGTGCAATTTTTTCATATAATGTTATACTAATAAATAAATGTTTGTACCATAAATATATCATCATCATTTTATCATCACCCTATAAATGGCTACTACTGAGCAAAGGACCTTCTCATACGGAGAAGGTTAAACAATAATCACCACGCTTGCTCAAGCCAAAACGACATAAATAAAGAATCTGGAGCCTCGTGACACAGGCATATAGGCGTGCACTGTAAAAGTGCACCCAATGACAATCCCCGGTTGATGCACAACTATTGTGCAATATGGCAGAAAATTATATGGTTATGGGTATGGGTGGCTATAAACTAGTAGATGATAACTATGGAAATACCCCTGCCCCTGACCAATATTGATACATACGGATGTTTATCCGTATGTATTATCTGCCTGTTTAGGCAGGGGGTGACTGGCAAACTCAATTAATGGGCCCCCGGAAACGGCCGCTAGCATGTAGCGACAAGGTGGCAACATATGTTGAGATGCTTGGGAAAGGAGAGGCATCCCATGGCTATCAGAGTAATCTCGAATGTACGGTCAAGACCCCTACCAGCATCTTATTGAGATACAACCTTCCCCCGAGTCTCCTTCAACTCCTACTCTTGCGAATATCCAATCAAGCTAGCCAATTAAGGCAAGAATGAGGTGGGAGGGCTTGTTCCTCATTAGTTTTCACTCCAGCTAGTCAAGGACTAACCGGAGTCAGGTCCGTGGGGTCGCCACTGGCCAACAGCTCGCTACAATCTGCTTTGCGGACTTATTATAACTATAATCGTACAGATCCATATTAAAGTGATATGAATACAAATGATGGCGTCATAATGTAACGGGCAGTGTCGAGCAAAGAACTTATTTTCAACTCCTACGCATGTTAGTCACCCCGTGTCCTGATCTACAACAAAAGCTATACAATAGCTAATGATCTTGAGATGGTTAATGGTATAACATTTGTTACCGTGCGTCTATTTGGTGAATCTACATCAAGACGGGCCATTATATCGGATGATATTGTTTTATCAATTTTATTGTATACCTAATAACTAATAATATTATACTATACATTTGTGTTTTAAATAATGTTTTGTTATCAATTTTCTTGTATTTATTTTGTTTGTTCTTTCCTTTCACGGGACCACAGAGTCCCGGACCTTTGGAAGGCGTACGAAGAGCCAAAGCCAAGTCGCAGAGGCCCGTTGAACAGTTTTAATCTAAATGTGATGGGACATCATGTAACGGAAATGGGTAAATGGTAAGTTTAAATAATATCTGTTACTTTTTTTTATTGATATGGCTGATTGATCAAATTTATTTAGTTACGATGCAAAGTAAAATAGAAATTGTCTGACAAGGGGACGAAAGCGAGCCGTAGAAAATTATATAATTTCCTAATATAAAAAAATAAAAAGATATTTTTAGTCATAAAGAGTCTGAAACTCCCTCACCTAGGTCGGGAAAAGTAATTTTATGATTTTTGTCTTTAAAAAGGCAAGATTTAAACGCGAGCAGCTTATGACAAAAAACAGCATACTCAATTTAGCATGATATGACGACACCACGCTATCGTTCCAAAATAAGAGATTTATTAATTGACCTTTCCTGGTTAGTGTTATAAACCTCAATACAGACAGAATCACGTTCTCATTTAAACAACAATTGCACGTAATATAAATTACTGCGAACTTTACATTACTCCCCTATGGCGTCCAAAACAAGCTTGCACGCATAACCTTCCTTAAGAAGAACAACAAAAAAGCAATCAACCCTTTAAACTTACTACCGTTTCAACGAATACGAGAATTAAAAAAGGAGCAAAGAAATCAAAAAGTTGTTTGCGCCAAAAGTCAGAGCTAAAAATAAGTGTGAGCGCAAACTGTGACGTCACGCACGTTAATGCGCTTGCGACGAAACCGTATAAGTTATGCAGGAATACGTCGAATTTTTTAAGTGACTATAAATAAAGTTAATGAGGTTGACTATAAATACTTTTTTGATGTACCTGCACGAAATTATCGATGAGTTTATTGAAAAAAGTAGGTATTTTCCCCATATATATTATGTACAATAATTCGCTGTTTTAGCTGTTTTTTGATAGGTTTCCAATGAACTTGTGTGTGTCTGTGTGTGTAATACAAATTATCTTCCACATTTTTTGTAAAGGCAACTTTCAAATACTTGCTACGAACATACAGTAAAACAGGTACACAGTAAAACAGGGCCTAAGAAAACGTAGATTCTGGTTAACTTTTTTAGGTTGATAAAAACGTGTGAAGATCTAGCTTACAAAAGTCTTGAAATAAAATTGTATCAAACAATAAAATAACAACAAGTAAAGGGTCAGGCGATAAAAAAGCGCATAAAAATGCTTTATCTCATCATCATCATCAAGTATGTCCACTGCAAAGCCTCTTAAAAGCTTCCTTCATAGTTAGGTCAACGAAATTTTAAATCATATCGCAAGATGTTATATGCTCTTTTTATTTTCTTTTTTTTTATGGTATAAGTCGGCAAACGAGCAGACGGATTACCTGGCGGTAAGCCATCGGCGCCACCCATGGAGAATCGCAACACCAAAGAAGTTACGAGTGCGTAGCCGACCTTGTTGTGGTTGCGGATATAAGGATCTGGAAGGGATAGGGTAGGGGGAGGGATTAGGCCTCCTCGTCCGGGTTGTTTCACGCAGGTATTCTGTAAGGCTGTGGTATCACTCCGGTCGAGCCAACCCATTCGTGCCGAAGCTTGGCTCTCAGCTTGAATACAATATTAAAGCTGCTCAAACCTCCTTCTTCAAAACTCCTCGAATGACTACTTCTTCTGCACTTGGTGGCGCGAGCTTGGAGACGAAGCACGCTATGACATTTCGCTTGGCCTAATCTTACAACCTTTACCCCTTTTTTGCCATTGTCAAAATCTCCCTGCCGTTTTGGCTAGGGTGACTAAAAACTTTTTCAAACTCCGAGCCATTGCCTTGGTTCGTAATGGCAACCTAATCCCGACCCTACACAATCTATATTACTATAATCATAATATTACAATGCGTTATAAACTACATTTCCATATGTCTAAGATTTTTTATTATCAAGAACCGTCGGTGGTCTCAGATACCTGATACTTCGACTCAGAAGATGTTAATCGCATTGTAAATAATCTTACATAAATTATACTCTGGTAACGGTGTATCGTTGGTCTAGCAAAAATTTGACAGGTTTTTAAAAGTCTTTGTAAATCCCCCAAGCACCAATGTAACTTTTCCGAGTTATATGTACTTTCTATAATTGTGTAGACACCACTGATATACGGTGAAGGAAAATATCGTGAGGAAACCTGGCCTTATAATTTCTAATTATAAGTTTGAATTCACCAATCCGCCATTAGCAAGCGCAGTTTTAAGTATTAATGCTCAAACCTTATCCGTCTGAGAAGAGGCCTTTGCTCAGCAGTAGGAACTTACAGACTGATGATGATGTTGATGATGACCACAATTCTTAAAAACTTAACAATCACACGTTCAATTGCTCGACGAACGAGCCAGTGTCAGGTTTTAAAGATTCTTTTTCTGCCTGATTAAACGCAAACTGTTAAAAATCAATTGAATGGAATTGATCTCCAATGTGGTCTATCGATAATAATCGAACGAAGTTTGAGTTCTTGTCTCAAACTTGTCAAAGCAAATGAAGTAAAAATACTGTTATTGATACGTTTACTAGATAAAAGTTTTTGTGTGATATCAAAGTCAGGATTTCCAAAGTATTGAATTGGGTACAAGGTGCGTCTAAAACACCCAATAATGGTGCTAATAAAAAGTTTCGTACACTTGCCATTTGATTAGCTATTTAAGAGTTATGTAAGTTTTTTTTCTATAGTGTAAGTCGGCAACCGATAAGGTTGTTTATAATTAGTTAAACGGTCGGGGCCGCCTGTAGACACCAGCAACACCAAAGAAGTTGAACAACAACAAATGCGTTATCAATCTTTC